CTGAATCTCTTATTGAACTAGTTGTGTAATTGTTTGTTGATTTGTTAGAATTGAATAGATCTTTATCTTTTTTTTTTTCTGCCATGCCTCCAATCAGCACATTTTTTATTTTTTTATTTTTTAACTTTTTAAGTTTTAATTTTTTAATTTTTAAAAATTTTATTTTTTTATTTTTTTTATTTTTTTATTTTTGTGGTGACAGATAGATATGAGTTCCATTTGTTCTTGTTGGTTGGGAATATGGTTGCTGTAATTATTACATTTGCTTTAACTTTTTGTGTCCTCTGCTTTTCTTTTTGCTTTTTTGGATGAAGAACACTTTTTTTTTCTTTCTTGATTTGATTAAAAAAAGGATGTGTGTATTATTTTATTGAATATTGAATATTAAAATAATAACAGAAATATTTGCTATCATTTAAAATTGTAGGTGAAATGAAATCAAGTGAGTGGATACATACAGTTGTGTCAATTTTTGTTCCTTTAATGCAAACAAAGAACTTAAACCAGAAAATAAGAAAGAAGCCACGGGGTCCCGCAAACGATGACCTAGCGGTTGCACGGTTGCAGTAAGTGCGTTCGTGTCAATTGACTCAAGTTTGAATTTCGTTGCCAACTGTCGTTAGGTGGAGCTTGTCGCACATGATTAGCTCAGTGTGGTATACGTCTCTCGTACTGTTTGCAATTTATTACACGAGAGTGTAAGTTTATCCAGTGTGCATATCCGGTTGGCTGCGGTTTTCTTTATTAAAAAAAGAAAAAAAAAAAAAAAAGCAGCCATTGCCATTAAATAATATATTGAATTGGAGCTTTAGTGAAAGGTGACAGATACCTGCAAATACTCACAGCTAAAGAGTGCTGTTGGGGGTTCACAAAAGTGTGACATTTCTGTGATGCAATTATATATATATATATATATATATATATATATATATATATATATATATATATATATATATATATATATTGTGTGTGTGTGTGTGTGTGATTTGAGTGGTCCAATCTTCTGTAAATTGTACAAAGTTTTATTACTAGCAACCAAAATTATTGGAGGTTTCCCATTTGAATGCTTTTGTTTGTTTGGGTGTATGAGTGCGTGTATATATGTTTCTCTAACAATAATAATTGTTTTTTATAAATTTCAAACTATGAAATATACAATAATTATACTACTAATTATAATAATTACAACTATAAAATTAGGCTTAGGTTTTCAGAATTTTTTTACGAGCCATTTCTCGAGACTTGGTGGTGAATTTGAACTCTAAAAATTAGGCTGCTTGAGCTCGTAGAAATTTACTAAAGCTCGAATTTGAGCACTTAAAATTTAGAAGAAATCGAGTGCGAGTCGAGCTCAGTTCATTTACACATCTAATACGAACATTTGTGTGACAAATGTTATATGTAAGAGTTGATGGTAAGTAGCAACATTTTTAGATAGTGTTGGATTTGAGTTTGTGTGAAAAATGGAAGCAAAGAAACAAAATTAAATAGGATCCAATTTTCCTTTTGTTTGTCTTGTTAATTTTTATGCAAGCTGTTTTTATTTTATTTATTTATTTTTTTATGAAGAAAGAGATAAGACTGAATTCAATTCACATGTGATACAAAACTAGAAACTGAGTTGTGACTTGTGACTTTGTGACTCAGTGGCCCAACTAACACCCTGTTTGCCTTGCATAATTTCAACAATTATTATGGCGGAATAATGTAGGGGTGGTTTCGGTATACGGTTATCGAATATTTTGTTCGATACTGTATACTTACTTTATTTTATAGTGTTGGAAAAAATTATACCGTTGCCATATGAATAATTGCGGTTTATCGTTACTTTCGGCATGATATAATCGGTACGTGGTACTCTACCGTACCATTCATTTTGTTGATGAACTCGGATGATATAATCATTAAGATGAATACTAGGGTGGTGTTTGCAAATGATTATATAAAAGCATAAGTTAGTGATTGTTAGTTAAGTCAGTTTTAAGTGTTTATTTCTAAAAGTTGGCGGTGTTTGCAAATATTCCGAAAAATGAACTTAATAGAAAAAACATGGTTATGGGGTGCTTTTAAAAAAATAGCTTAAATCAGATTATTTTAAGAGAAGCAAAAGCAAAAACACCTGTTTACAGATAATGACAAAAAAAAAAGTTCATAATCACTTTCAAAAAGCGGTTGCAAACACCACCTAAATACTATGCATAAATTCAACAAATTAAGTAAATGGAATTGACAATGAAGCAATCCAAGGGAATTGCATTATACAACTAACTATGTTATAATATAATTTTACTTTAGATAACTAATGCTAAGAGATCTATAGAAAATATACATAAACTAATAAATAAGAAAGTTTCATGGTTTCAGTAAAAGAAACAAAATAAATGTAGTAATGCAAAAGAACCAAACGGCTTCATCGATGTGCAAAGAGTGTGTTTGCGTAAAAAGAGACTAAAATACCATAAGTATGTAATTATATAAATATAATGTATGATATCTTAATTTTTTGTTTTTGATTATTTGGTGATTATATATTTTTATTATTTAACAATATCCAAAGAAATATATATAAACAAAATTTTAAAATACCGAATTCAGGTACGGTACGGTACGGTATTACGACGGTACTGAAGATACAAATACAACTACCGTACCGTAAGATGGTGTACCAAATATAGTGGTAACTGATAGTTTTGTATTTATTCAGTAATTTGTGGTAATCGGTATATGATAATTTTTTTCCAGTGCTAGAATAATGTATAAAAGGTGAAAATTAAGGTCTATTTACAAATAAATCCCTCATTTTTCCATAATTACATCCATCTCTGCAATATATAAATTCCTTACATTAACACCATTTTTTAGGGAAGTGGATGTAATATATTACAAGTTGCAGGGAGCTGGTAGTAATTTCTAAAAAATGAGAGTTGTTTTTTCATAAGTAGACTTTAGCTGAGAAAGGTAGTTGTAATTTACTCAATATAGGATAATCTATATAGATTATAGGGTAATTTACCAAAAAAATATATTGCTATGCAGGGGTTAGAAAGTAGTTGTGCTCAATTCATGCAACAATTAAGGAGAGAAGGTTGAAAAATTATACTACTAAACTAAACCAACTTTTACATTGGTTCCATTTGGTTGAACAACCTTTATGTCAAATTTGTTTGGAAGGTAACCCAATTTAATTTCAACGATAGATAGTATTAGGAATAGAAAAAGAAAATAGGACACCAAAATTTTAAATTTTTTTTTTGCCAATCTTCAATAGTTATGTATGGGCATATATGAGATTTGCCTAACATAGATTTTTAAAAAAATGTTTGGCAATGAAATTTAGGTGGTTAGTTCAAATCAATGTTGTTAGAACCGGATTGGCTATGAAACCGGGCGATTATTTGGGTCATGGGTCGATACGGTCAAACTAGTTCAACAGGTTTTTGATTTTTTTTTAATTTAATCTTTCTTCTATTATTTTCACGTTTATCGACTTCATCCAACTTTTTACTATATTTCTTTTGGTTTCACTTTACATTTTCTCATTCTTTCTTCTCCGGATCTCCCTTAATTGACCACCCATGACCAGATTCGGTCATCTATAACTAATTCCGTGAAGGCTCGCTCAGATCCAGCCACAAATAACCAACACCGCCGATGGTTTGAGCAATTTTGACCGGAAACCGTATTTTTTGATCGGTTCGCTAGTTCCCAAGTTTTACCAATTGGATTTTGGTAATTTGACCCAAGTTTGTAAAGTTTCCGATTTTAGAGATAAGACCGGACGGAACTTTCCGATTTTAGAGATCAGACCAGACCGCCCCATTGCCTGGTCACGGTTGAACCAATCTGACTGACTAGTCCGCTTCAGACAACATTGATTCAAATGCTTTTGAAATAGATTATGAGTTTATCCTTCTTCACAAGTTGTTTACTAATCTTTGCAAATGTAACTTGTGTTTTTAATATTAGGGTAAATTACACTTACACCTCCTAGGTATGCTAAAATAACTTAATGTCCATACTAAAACAATTACTGGAGCCAAGATTTTATATCCTGACGACTGATATGCACTATATTTGTTTCCGACGGGGCCGTTAATGATACCATAGTGAAAAATTATAAATCTTATATAAAATAATAAGGATTTAAGAAATGTTAGGAGAGTTATTTCACCCCCTAGCTCTATGTCGTCCCTACCACTACCTGAATCTAATAATCCGTTACAACCCTAACGGAATAACTTATCCAATGCATTATTCTGTCAGGGTTTCTAACAATGTTTCAAGGGTGATTGTACGTATCGATACTACAGGGACCTTAAAGTTATTTTAGTATACCTTAGGGGTGTTAATATTATGAAATTTCAAGCAAAATTTTATTTGTACTCTGAAAAATCGTAAAAAAAACAATCAATCGCATCTTAAAAGAGGGTAAAATGCGAAACCAAATGCACGTTGCACGATAAAATAACAACCCCTCGGTACATTTATACTGTAAAAATATGGTATACTTTCACAATACGAAATGACAAGGGAAAAAAGAAAAACCTGAGAAAAATAATGCACAATACATTTACAAAAGGAATAGAAACTATGTATATATATATAAAATACTGACGAAAAAAGGCCACATGGCTACGCGCTCGAATTCGAAGATGGGTCGTCTTTCCAACCTTTAGTAGAGAGTAGGTCGTAATTGATCGAAGCAAGCTGAGAAAGATTCTGTTTGTCGCCATGAAAATGAAACCAATATCAGACGTAAAATTTGAATAACTGAAAATAGGAGTGAAAATCAAACTAATCGGATTGGAGTTCCGATTTTTTAATTTTTTTTAGGAAATAGAAAACTAATTCCAATTCTGAATTTTCAGAGTCCAACAATCCATTCCGATTTCAGAATTTTCGGAAATAATGTCACCTTTTATAACTTTTGAGAATTCTTCCAAAGTTTTTTTGGGTGGGGGGTGGAGTTGGAATTTCCAGTAAAATTTCGGAAAATCAAAATCGAAATTTCAGAAAAAAATATATTTCAATTTTCACCTCTAACTAAGAAAGACGACTCTTCGTCGGAAGTTACCTTAAACGAGAAGTTGCTAAAGGAGTAGTTGATATTGCTGCTGGAATCGAATTCCGCGAGCCCCACACATTCATCTCCCTGTATTTCACAACCAAGCAAAAAAAAATCAATATTCGAGAAATTCAAATTACGAAATAGAAAAAAAAAATCTACAGAAAACGTAAAGCACAGTACCACTTCTTCGTGCCGATTGCTAGGGCAACTACTGGTACCACTTAAGCTGCCATTATCACTGGAATCTTCAAAATCACTACCAGCATAAACATGCTCGTCCGAAGGGTTCCATGAGTAACGGCTCGTAAAATAACTCGTATCCATTGCACCCTCCGATGCAGGTACAAAAGCAGCCTTTTATGAAAGAAAAAAAAGTCGAATTTTTGTAATTAGGTCATCGATAATTTTTTGGATCAACAAAAATGATGCCAATTTATATATAGAGAGAGTTCGAACCTTCTGTCTTGCAAGGGTGTCCCAGTTAATATCTCGGAAAAACGGATGTTGCTTGACCTGCATCGTAAATTTTGTTCTTCGACGGTTAATATCTTTTGAGAAATTAATAAATAGGATCGGTTATCAAAGTTAAACCCTTTACAAAACGAAGTAATAGGATCGAATATCAGAATAAAAATCTGCGATAACCTCTTTAGCTCCTACAGCTCCAAGTCTCTGGTCGGGATCTTCGGTCAGTAATCTACCAAAAGATATTAAAATGAACAAAAAAAAAACAGGGGACTTAGTCAAATAGGAATTTGTAAGAGGGCAAAATTTTTGGGCCAGATAAAATAAACATCCATGTATTGGAAATAGTAAGAAACGAAAGATCTCTTACCGATCAATTAAATCATGAGCTTCGAGGCTCATCTCATCAGGAACCGAAGGCCAAGGAATCTTCCGATTTAGAATGTTGTCAAATATTTTCTGAAAAAAGGAAATTGGAAAAGAATATTAAGAAACACAACCAAATAAGGACCTTGGATATACCAAAAATAGTTCCTATCTCTTGAAAGTGACATGTTCAAACTGCACGTGGTTCATATAATTTGAGTAAATAATTTACACATTGTTTAACGATTTAATTGATTAACATTAGCATGAAAAGCTATATTATAAACACAATATTTAATAAAAATCCAAGAATACAAATTATTCCCAACATTCAAAGTCAAGCCGACTATACGAAGATGGGGAGTATAATGCGTTAATTGCGACATCAATCACATTTTACCTAAATTTAGCATAAAATTATGAGCAACGTTTTACATAAACTTGTGGTCTCTTCAGAAGAATAATTTGTCTGTCGTACTCCATAATTTTCTCAGAAAATGAACTAACATTTATAATCAAGAAGTACACAGCATAAGTCTATCGTCCGATTGATTCGATTCACTCAACGGAATCCGTGTGTCCAGGATACACCCAATGGCAATATAAGTACTAAATAAAGGAAAATAATTAAGAGATCGGGGGGGGGGGGGGGGGGGGGGGGGGGGAAATAAAAAACCTAAAAAAAACCCGGGGGGTTTCAGCATTGAAAGGAAGGGATGCAACAAATCAACTCGAACAGAATAACACCCACAGACCACCAATCAGCAGTAAATCCTGAGAAAACAAACTAACATGATGCACACTAAATTAACACGAAAGTTAACGATCAAGTAAATTGAAAGTCCTCATCCAAACAGCAAAAAAAAGCATGTACTCACTAATGCACGTAATCTCGAACATCGGCAAAAAGGCTACCAAGCTCACACTACAGAACCATACATCTTAAGCAACACCTTAGGCGCTGAATATTACTACATCTTTGTTACCCAATTAAACCAAATTAAGACTGATAAACAACATTCTGGCGACTTTCATTCGAGTACCTATCGACCATTGATATCACACCAATTTTTTTTCTCTCGACTTTTTTTTTAATGGCAAACAGCAGTGGCAAGACAATGATACACTATCTGACTAGCAAGAGAATTGAAATGGTTCTGAAGTTGCTATAAGACGATCAAACTGGTATGACACCTTTCTGTAATTTAATTAGGACAATAAATAAAATGGAAAATGGTTGCGCTAACCATGCCCAGTTCCTAGAAGAATCTCGGGTGCTAAGTAGTCTGGTGTACCCACAGCAGAGCGCTTTTTACGTCTTTCTTGCTGATGCTCAGATGCAGATAATGGTGGTTCATCTTCTTCCATAATAGATGTTCCGCTAACAGCCGGGCCCGACAAATCATCGGTACTGTTGATAAGACCCACTTTTGATAGCCCAAAGTCTGTTAACTGTTCAAATCGATAGCAAACATTAATTTTTGCTCCTCAAATGCACGAGCATCATGAGGTTTCCTACATATCTAAAGAAAGAAAATAAGTATAACCACAAGCATTAAATTATGTGCACATCGATTCTGATTGAGTTAGAAGAACTGTCGTAAAAACATATCAACTTACACTTGATTCCCATCAGAAATGTCTATGATATGAATTTACTAGAGAGCATAAATGAGATTTACTTCTGAAAAATTCAATTACATCAAATTTTAGGTCAAGCAAGTCGTGAATCTGGATCCATGAACTTAGAACAGCAAACTTGTGGTGCTGATGGATTCCAATACTCAAATTTTCAACTGGCATATCAGTAAATAAGTGGAAAAGACAATGAACAAGAAAAGAACAGAAGAACGAATGCTACAGCAAATCACGCAAGGTGCTATCTAGTAAGAGTTGCACATGGTGCAGCACTAGCATATTACGATGCATCCTTGTCAGAAAGGAGGAAAAAAATATAGGAGACGAAAAAAAAAAGGATTGATGAAATGCAAATAAAGTGTATCGAGTATTTAGGAAATGCTGTATGATAAGAAAGCTAATCGCAAAGCACCAATTAGACAATTCATATTCAATTATCTGTATGGCACTATGTACAGCAGAAACAAGTAAAAAGAACAAATGCTTGTCAGAATCTAATAGTTCAAGAAACCTACATGTAAAGTTTGAAAAACTGCCTAGTTCCAACTTTTTTTTCTGGTTGAATTTTACAACAATTTAATAATCACAGAAGAGCCTAGAATCATAAACCTATTGAACAGCCTACAAAAGCAAAATCTAGAAATTCGTTATAATCAAATACATCTTCGAAGTATTAATGTAGAAGGGCGTAACAAACGAAACTGTGAAAGTTAAAATGAAAGAAACAAACCTTAATATGGCCATCATGTGCAATCAACAAATTATCAGGCTTCAGATCACGATGGACCACACGGAGAGAATGTAAATATTCCAAAGCAAGCACCTAAAAATGCATAAAATCCAGGTGTTCAGTCACCACGTAACGGAAAGGATGAGCAAAAATGCAGCTGAAAAGCCAGCAAGAGAAACTTACTACTTCGGCAATGTATACACGAGCAACATCTTCATCTAAGCAACCCAGATTTCTCAATAAGGAATAAAGATCTCCGCCATTTAAGTACTCCATTACAAGATACAGGTTTTCACGACAAGTGAATGAATAGAAGAAGCGGACCTAAGGCATCATTCTTTAAGATTAAAATAAAATGATCATACAGAGAACAGAGTTATAGAATTTATCAGCTACAAAGACTTACCACAAAAGGATTGCGAACAGATATCAAAATATCTCGTTCTGCCAAAATACTCTCAACTGCATTCTTCCGTATCATATCTGCTTTCTTTAGAACCTGCAGAATACATAGAAGTTGAATTTCAAGCCATCAAATGAGTTTCAACTACATTATTTGTCGAGAATGTTTTTCATTTTATGATATAATTCAATGCATTGATGTATCTCTTATCTACTTTTCTTGGTCAACTGACACAGGTAATTATCTGCAACAAATTTAGATGGAGAAATTCTTAATATACCTTTATTGCAAACAAATCGCCGGTCGTTCTCTTCTTCGCAAGGAAAACTCGACCAAATGCCCCACGACTAATTGGTTTTATAATCTCGAAGTCATCTATTGAGGTACGGTCTTTGGAAGAATGAACTGGGCTACTTCGAAGACTACGCAAAACATCATCTTCCAAAGGAGCATCTTCATCGATTACAGTGCTTGTTATATCAACCTTGTCATCATCAACTAGTTCGCATAGTTGCAAATACTTCTCCCTGGATGATTGAATAAAATTTCAGCACGAGTTCTCCAGAACTAATTTTACTCTAAATTCCAAAGAAAAAGATCACCAACTGACCGGATTAATTTCTCTATACGAGCTCCAAATGTATCTACTGTCAGGGAGTCGAATTTTCTACGATCTATGACAACTTTCAAGTCTTCGAGACAAGAAAGAAGATACTGCAAAGAGCGATCATCATCCAAGGGTGTATTTGCCACACATCTCGCGATATCAGCAAGTTCACTCATCTGCATTGTGAAGATGAGTTATAAGGAAAAGGATTTAAAGTCGATAACAGTAGCTATCAATTCCAAACTACGCATATTGACTCATATATGAGGAAAAATAAAAGGAATATAGCAATTGCAGTCAAATACGTATTCAAATAAATGATAATCAAATCGAAATATACTAAATTTAGAATCACTCTTATATGAAACACCACCTAAGAATTTTGATTTATTTCATCAATAGAAATAATCTGTGCTTCTATCGTGTGCAATGAACAAAACCTAAATGCTTTATAGAATTTCGTGATTCAGGATATGAGGATAATAAAAAGCACAGGCAGTCGGAAGCATCAGCGCGCCAATCCTAGATTATTAATCATTTAGAAAAACAAACAAACCAATCTGCTTATAGAAAATAAAGACTAGAGAAGAGACGAAGAGATATGTGTACGCGACCATTAACAGTTGAATGAGAACAAGCAGAGTGGTGAAAGACAATCCACAACCTATCTTGAGGATGCTTTGGTTTTCGATGACTATTACTTAAATAGGAGTTAACGTGGTATTAATGCATATGCTGTTAGTTTCCGCAGTATCTCATGCCAGCCGAGGGATGGAGTCCCGTTTTTTGTGGTACAAATATGTGCTCAGCGTCAGCTCGATCCCTACCCTCAACCATACACAAAATACTCTAGATGCTAAATTTCACTTACTATGACAAAATAACAACAAATTGTACAAGCACAAAACTGAACATGCTAAATTCTCACTTTCACGGGTACATGGCAAGATTAATATGGTGGTGCTTGCAAGTTGCAAAAGAGATATTATGAGCTTTTCTGGTTGATAATCTGTTTTTTGAGTGTTTACAAATGCAGTTTTTGCTTTTGCTTCTCTTAAAGTAAGTTGTTTCAAGCTATAATCTAAAAAAACATTTCCGCAGCAACTTTTTTGGGCTCAAAGTTTGTATTTTTTAGCCCTTATTATTTTTATTTAAATCCAATTTATAAGGATATTTGAGCTATTTTACAAAAATAAGCCGAAAATTAAAGTTTGTTTTGGCAACACATCAACTTATAAATTGACTGTTTAAAGTTGATTTTTTTAGGAAATGTGCAATTATTCAAAACTTTACTCACAATTGCCAACTTCTACTTTTTCAAAAGCTTTTGCAAACACCACCTAAGTAATTGTGCTATAATAGTTAATTACAATTGTGTGGCATACACGCAAAAGTTATTGGCACCTTTGGACAGAAGAAGCACCCACAAAGGAAATAATAAAAAAACAAAATTCAGCCTATACGATATAATACCTGAGGAAGATCGCCATGTTCTGAGAAAGCACCTTTCCCGGACAAAAGCAAGTCAATTGGGCTCGTCCGAGGTGTCATCAACGGCGACCTCGGCGTCATACTTCCAGCCGATGATGTCGTCATTCCTTGATCAGACTTCGGACCGAATCTCGTCCTACACGATATGGACGGCAAAACCTTCATATCATCCATGGGAGTATTATTATTATCCACCTCAGCAAAACAGTCAAGCATATCTTCAGAGCCTCTACGAGACCAGTCACTAAACTTTGGAGAAACAAGCTCCGACTCTTCGGTCAAACTCGAGTTCGACACTTTAGCACCACCATCA